CGTCGTCATCGACAGCTTCAAGAGGGAGATCTGCGTGTCCCTGGAGGAGTACAACGGCAAGATCGAGAGCCTCAGGAAGGAGATGGAGGACTACACGCTCAGCTCGGAGGCGGTGCAGGTGATTTGGTCTATATCTCGATATGCTTGTATGCATAGTCGCGTGGGTTTTTAAGGCCCTGTGCCTTGACAGCTTGTGTGTTCCCTTCCTGCTGTGGTTTCTAGGAGGATTGTTGTCTGTCTGTACGGTGTTGTGTATAGTAGCGTTTTTTTTGTGTATGGAGAACGGGGTGGTTGGCGATACCTCATCCCTTGGGTGGGTAGTGCAATCCTTCGATTCTGGTAGGTACAGCGGTCGGGACCCTCTTATTTGGCTGGCACGTGCCAGTCCGAGTCACCCCGCCATTTATCTAGCGGGCAATCGCCTTGTCCAAAGTGTTGAACAACTTGATTATCTCCGTCCGTTCCAAGCAATAAGAGAGTTCACTGCCCCCTACTAACCACCCCCTGCTGCTATGCATACGTGTGTTTGGCCTTCTGAGGTGGTACATTGGGATACATGCGGGCGAGATGAGGGGAGGGTCGTTGTTGTATGGCTGAGTACTGTATGCATCGAACACGTGGCGTTCTTTTGGTAGGCATGTTTTTATTTTGTAACAAGTCATTTGCTGGGCCATTTATTCTGTGAGTTGCACCAACGCTTTCGAGCTCGTGGGAGGCGATTTGTGGCAAAAAAACTCGATTGTTTTCTGATGTATTATTGTGTCATCACGTACAACTTGCTCGCAACTACTGTGTTTTCCCGTTTTTGTCGCAGACCGAAATTGTGGAACTACAGCAGAGGAGCATCTACGTCTCGTCGAACCAGACCTGCGAGCTGTGCAAGCGAAACATTCTCAGCACGCAGGTGCGGTTTTGTGTGGAGATTGACCGCCTGCCGCCTACATGAAAGAAGATGTCCGTCCGCACGTCGTACGCCTTTGCTCATAAGCACTCACATGAAAAAGCCGTTTGGCCGTACCTTTACGCGTCGAGAGACATTGTGGCACCCTATCTTGGGAGCAGGAACGGCGCTCCGTTTCGACCTGAACTACCACAGGCTTGCGACCGCTTCTTCAACAGCGCTCTCGAGAGCACGATAAACAATATTTCGCTCCCCCACGCCCCTCCACTCCATGCTCCGTCCTCTCGAGGACGCGTGGTCAACGGTCTAACAGCTAAGGCATGCAAAACGTGAGTACCCCGCCCGCCCCCATTCTGCGGCCCCCCTTCCCCAGTTTTACGTGTTCCCTTGCGGACACGCGTTCCACTTCGAGTGCCTGTTGGAAAACATCCGGCCGCACCTCTCGGTGGAGCAGCGGTCGGCGGTGGAGTCACTGGTTGCGATGATCGCTGCCGGCGGGGGCGGGGGAGGCGGAGACGCGAAGCACGGTTCTGCCGCAGTTGCTGGAGGCAGGGGGCCTGGCGGGGCAACAGCAGCAGCAGCAAACGGTGGTGCTGATGGGTCGAGGAGGGCGCAACATTACCTCAGGTCGTTGCAGGTGCGTCACCTGTCGTTGCTTATTTTTTGTTTGGGGGGGGGGAGGGTTGGTCGATCAAGGTATTGGGCACGCGCGCGTATTTCTGGCGTGTGCATAGGGGCGCGTCGTGTGTTTGGTTGCAGGGATCGTCCTGGGTGTTGGAGGAACTTAACTTTCGGCGGCCCGTATTTACGTAGGGCGTTTCACTACAATTCCGATCGAGTTGTGCCCCTCCCTCTCTCCCAACAGCAACAAGCAAGTGTCTATAATAGCACGTGTGGGGAGCACGAGGTGATGGTCCAATTGAGCTCCGCATCGTCAAAACCGGGGAAGTGGGCCGAAAAAACTACTGCAGAACCCCGGGATAGAAGAAAAAACAGGGTTCCTTTTTGTTTCCCTATCAGGCAGCAGCGCGTGTGTCCGGTGTGTACTCCGCTCATCTTCGAGGGGGCGGTGGTATCCATCGGCCCAAGCACCACAAGAGACAGAACCAAGAATGCGTACCCTCTGCGGCACCCTCCCTCCCTCCCTCGCAGCACAAGCTAGAATGTAGGCGCTGAAAATTTCTCTCCCCCACCCCCGCACCGCACACGCCTTTTTGTGCTTGAAGTTTTGCGGATCGATCTGATGGATATGTGCGGATGTTGTTTGCCATGGTTGTGGGTATGTCTTCGCCTTTGGACGCTTGGGTTGGTGATGGTTGCTGATCTGATGGATGTTGGTGTGGATCGATCTAATGGATGGATGCACCCGACCATCGTTTGTCACCATCGTCGCTCGCTGTGTCTTGGCTTTTTGACCCTTTGTTTTTGGTGACGGTTGTTGCTGCTCAGACGGAGCTGGACGGGTACGTGGCAGGCGAGTGTGTCCTTTGCGGTGACATGATGGTCCAGAGCGTCGACAAGCCCCTCGTCGCTGTGGAGGAACAGGCGGAGCAAATGCACCAGTGGGCGCTGTGACCGAGTGGCGTTTGGTCAGGTCAGGTTGTGGACTGCTGCTCGAGGAACAGGCATCAGTGGCGCTTTGTGACCGCTGTTCGAGTCGAGTCGATCGTTTTGGTCAGGTTGTGGATAGCTGTTCGAGGAACAGGCAGAACAACTACACCAGTGGGCGTTGTGACGCGTTTGGTCGGGTTGTGGACTGCTGTTCGAGGGACAAGCATCAGTGACGCTTTGCGACCGCTGTTCGAATCTCGGTTTGGTCGGGTGGTGGACTGCTGCTCGAGTAACGACCAGAACATGTGCTCAGTGGGCTTTTCGTGAACCGTGTGTGTTTGGTCAGGGTGGGTACTGCCGTTCGAGGAACGACCACAACATGTGCTCAGTGGGCTTTTTGTGAACCGTTTATTTTTGGTCAGGGTGGGGACTGCCGTTCGAGGAACGACCAGAAGATGTGCTCAGTGGGCTACTCGTGAATCATGTATTTTTGGTCAGGGCGTGGACTGCTGTTCGAGGAACGACCAGAACATGTGCTCAGTGGGCTTTTTGTGAACCGTTTGTTTTTTGGTGAGGGTGGGGACTGCTGAACGAACCCGCTCGTGTCCTTACTATCCACGCTCCCATGACTTGACGCCGGAAAAGGAAGCGAAGCACTCCAACGGTCGCTTCAACGAGCCTCGTAGCCTTTTTTGCAGGTAGCGCTTGTTGTGCTTTGAGGCACACCAACAGTACTTACTTGCGGCTGGGAACCGAGGCATCTCGCGAGGGGTGTGGACCCACGCTTTGTTTCGGAGGTGTTGTGGTTTGGTTGATGGCCCTTACTGTAGAAATGGCATGTTTGGTCCAAAGGCAACGGCAAGTGCGCCCAGCCAGGCGCTGCGTTTTACTGCCCCGCCTTTCGATTTTGGCAGAACCCAACCAAGGGTTGTGTACGTCACGTCATCCGCTCTTGTGAAAGCTGCAAACGTGTTTTTCTGCGCTTTCCGACCCCAACCGAGGTGCAGAGATGCCCGGTAGCAGCTAGCCAGGCCAGGCCAGGCCAGGCCAGGCCGGGGCGAGTGGCGTAAATCTGTTTCTCGCTGCTGCGGCAGCATGCTCGGTGCTAAGAAGAGGCGAGCAACGAAAACAGACCAGACACGGGGGGAGCGTCCGGCTGGCTGGCCTGATGCTGAAAAAACATGCGCTGATGCCAGCTGTCTACCCCGGCTGTCTGTACTGCCTCATGACGACAGCGTTAAAAACACGCCGACGCAGGGTAAGAAACACACAACACACTACAGTTCGAGCGTCGAGAACGCAGTCAGTCGCCAGTCACTGAACGAAGGCGTCACATCCACTACAGCAGTACATACATCCAATTATTCATGCATGCACGAACTGCAGAAAAGAAATATATCGCACGTACGTGTAATCACAACGCATTAAATTCTTCTTCGTCTTCGGGCCGTACGCAGGCCAGGTATGGAATCCTATACTCCCACAACACGGGAGGCGTGAAAGGTACAACAGCAATAGCAACAGCAACAGCAACACAAGGCAGACCGGCATCATCCTGCTGTCAGGCGAAACATGCACCCTCTTTTCTCGTCGAGCAGCAGCTGTTGCAAGATCAAATCATTCGTCATCTTCTGCGTTGCCCCCATTCAGCAGCAGCTCCTTGAACGAGGCCGACTTGGGCCGGATGAGGTTGTCCTCCCCGTACGTCACCGTCACCTTCTCGATGATGTCCCCGTCCCTCATCCTGCCGAGCAGCTTACGGTTGCCCACCACGTAGGCGAAGATGGCGTACCTCCCGTCCAGGGCCTCCACCCCCTGGTTCATGAGGAAACCGTCCTTCTCCAGGTTGTCGTCCGGCAGCCAGAAGAACTCGCTCGAGGCCCCGTTGCCGTCCAGGGCGGGGTGGTTCATGGCGATCGCACCCGGGATCCGGAAGGTCTGCACCGCCGGCACCTTGGTGAAGATCTTCGTGTTGCGCGCGGCGCCGTAGACGGGAGCGTTCCCCCTGCGCCCGACGCGCAGGATCTCTAGCGGGAGCCTCCGCAGAGACCCCGTCGCGGGGTCGACGAAGCCCTCCCGGTACGAGCCGGACACCACGGTCGATATCGTCTCGTTGTTGTCCGAGCCCACCTGCGCCTCCGCGGGGACGCCGTCGTACCGGATGGGGAGCTCGTTGTAGAAGCCCCGCAGCGCCAGGTCGATGAAGTTCCCGGCAGTGACGGGCGAGCTGTAGCCGTCCACGACGACGGTCACGTTGCCGAGGACCTTGGCCTTCTCCCTGGGGGAGTCCGGCTCCCGCCTCACCGTCATCTCCACCGTCGCCCGACCCAGCAGCTGCGGGACCGAGCGGTACATCTCCCCGGCGTCCACCTCGAACGGGAACCCGGAGTCGAAGAGCTCCCCGATCCTGCCCAGCGCGAGCAGGGCGTCCTCCTGGGCGGCGAGCACGGTCGGCGGGAGCCTGGACCGGGCCCCCGCCGCCATGCGCGTCAGCGCCTCCTTCGCCGAAGCGAAGACGGACTCGAAGTACTCCGCGCGCCTGATCTGGGCCTCGGCGGAGTCCATCTCGCGGAACACCGGCTCGATGTCCCCCCGCTGCTCCTCCAGGATCTCGAGGGCCCCCTCCGACACGGCCAGCACCCGGTCCCACACCGCCGGCGGCACCGGCAGCTGCTCCACCACGCTGCCCGTCGTCGAGTAGTTCACCCGACGGTACAGGGTCCGCAGGATCGTGGCCTTCTCGATCTCGTCCTGGATCGCCCTCAGGACGTTGGCCCTGACCCCGTCGATCGGGAGCAGGTCCAGCAGGACCGACTCCGTCAGGATCGGGGTCCCCAGCCGGGTGCGGTCCACCACCGCCGCCTCAGCCGCGGGGATCCCCAACCCCTTATTTTTT